AAACAGTAAGTCCGTGGCTGTACTCCATTAATTTAGGACACAGATGTATGTTGACTTTGCTGCAGTTTGAGTTGTTTTAATGTAAACTCCACCAGCTAAATGAACCAACTGAAATTGCTGCAAGCCTTGCAGGAGTTGGGCTGACTTTGCATGGAAGTGGACCAGGGAGCATTCACATGCTGAGTTGTGCTGGTGGAAAGCTTCCAGCTCACAGGCAGTGATAGCATCTGAATACAGGGGAAAAGGTGCGTCTTTTCCAACTCAATCCTGATTCACTGGAGGACAGACATCCAACACTTAATAGGAGACTTTGAAGAAGCTGACGTTTTACAGGATAAAAGGGGATATCATGATGGTATCTGCATACAAATTGCACCACAGTGTTGTCTTTTGCATTCATAAAACTCTCTTAATAGCTGGTGTTTACTGTAATTACTTATTAAAGGTTAACAGCACCCTCTCTTATGTTTGCAGGGATATTTCTGGTCTCTGCTCTTTAATCTTCTCTTTGCCAATAGCTCCTGTATTTGTGCGTGTTCTTATCTTGGTCTCATCAGAGGGCTTGTTTCAGACATTTGTTTTCCACTCCTGCTCATCTGGCTGTAGAAAACAAAACGTTAGCACCTAAAAACCAATTGAAAAATCGGTCACATGAGAGTAACCTGAATTCATTACCTCTGGGTTTTGTGCCAGATGTAACTGGATATTTTCCACTGAAAACAAGAAAGTCAATGATAAAGTCATGCCCAATGACTGAGTGAATGCATTTTGTAGTAGGAAGGCACCTCTCCTCCTCGCTTGGTATAGGCAGTAAAGGGAGAGCAATAACTTCAGTTTACAGTAAATTTTCTGCTTTGTGGTGGGTAAAATAGAAGTTTCCCAGAGCTAGAATTAAACAATAATTAGCAGCTGATAAAACCCCCCTGACACCCTGCACCTTCTTTCCTAAGGCATAAATATTAAGAGCTGCTTATCAAGCTCAGTTCCTGATTAATATTCTGCAGTCTGTACAGGCCCACTTCTTGTTTCTCTGAAGAAGGATTTATTTTAAAATATAACAGTAGACCAAAAAAAAATACTGGATTTTTGAAATTAAAGGTTGAACTTTCTTAGTGGCTGGAGCACCCAGTGATTGTTGCAATGAGTTGTTTGTAATTTTTTACTTCAGTTATCATTCAGTGTTAAGGACTCCATGTTAAAAGATTTGTAATGTGAAGCATTTGAATAGCATGTGTGTTTTGACAGGTAATAAACATGGCAGATCTGCATAAAGCAGATCTTTTTACCTTTAGTAATTAATTATTGTAGTAATTTGTAATTTGCAGTCACAATTGTGACGCAGTTTAGTTGTGTGCATGTATGAACTGTCAGAAAACATGGTACTCACATGGAGCAGCTTGCTCCAAGGCATGTAAGGTACTTTGATTTTATCTTCTTTTATGAAAAAAGAAGTGTGCCGAGGACCTGGGACTCTCCCATGGGCAGGACCAGCTGCGTGCTGGAGTGGTGGCTGGTGTGACTCAGTTTTGGGGAGTTGTTGGATGCCACAGAAAGCCCTCCCTCGGCTCTGCAGGCAGTCTGCGAGAGCTCTGTTGGCTCTGCTGGGTGTTTGAGCGTGGGATGACTCTCCATATTTATCTGATATTTCCTGCTGCCTCCTTGTCCCATTGCATTTCCATGACCTTGGGCTCCCTCGGGACTGCTTTTCTCCTCCTCCCCTGGGATATTGTTGATTGCTTTCACAGCAACCCATTTTAAGATCTTAAAAAAAAAAAAGATGAGGTAAGCTGATGTAATGTTTGCTGCTCATGAAAAGGTTATGGGTCTGCCCAAGGTAGCAGAAGCGAATAATTTCCAAACTCTGATCTCTAGGGGAGAGAAATGTGATATCTAAGGCTTTTGAAACCTCTAGACCTTACATTTATAATCTGGCATTTTACAGATCTTTTTCAACCAGTTATTCCCCATTATTTTAAGTGGTGGCTTTTGAGAAGCAATTTGATTTGCGCAAACAAGCAAAAAAAGATCAATAGCCATTTTAGATTTTGCACCTGTGTCCCACCAAGCAGATTTTGAGCCCATTGGTTTCTCACTTCACATAACACCAGGCTGCGATTAAAGGCTTTTCTTGCTTCTGCTATGATCTTTCCATGAAATAGAAATCAGTGCATCTGCATGCTGCCCAGTCCATCACTTTCTGAGCTTGAGGAGACCTTAGGCTCAAAAAAATTTAATGGCTGTCCTAAATGTGCAGCACAGTCCTGGCTTGACTGAAGTCAGTGGCAGCTTCATTCCCACAGAGCCTGAGTTTCAGATCTGGGGCTGTGTCTGCACCATGCAGTGGGGTCCTGCTCCTACACCTGTTCCCTGCACCAAACAAATCTGGCCTCTTGCCCAGAATACCCCTTTACAACCAGCTCTGCCCCCTCTTGTGCCATAGGAGTGTTGTGCCACTTACTGCACCACCAAACCATGCTGGACTCCTGAAGCAGGATTAACTCCTGTCCAGATTAGATCTTGATCAAGCAGATTTGCAGGCTGTTAAAAATTTCACAAAACTCACAGTTTTTGTGGGTTCTGAAGAGTAACATGGGGAAGCCTGAAGTGCCATGAAATTAAAAAAGCCAGGATGTCTGTGGCATATGTGTTTTGTTTCTAGTTTCTGCAGAAAAGATGCATAATTGAAGAAAAAATATAATCTTTATTTGCATGTACAATATGTTTCTCCTCCTGTCTCATCCCTTTTGTGAGAACTCGGGGCCAGAATTACAGTATCAGAAGTTGCTTTTGGATGCTATTCAGCTCCCATATGTCATGATCTGTTTTTAATCAAATGGGTTTTCCATCTGAAAGTAGCTGTTGGATAAAGAATGGGTAGAAATATTTCTGTGTGAATTAGCTCAGACTGAAGCTACAAACCTTTTTTTTTTTTTTTTCCACAACAAACACATGGAAAAATATTCTTCAGAGTAGTGTAGTCGGCCTGAAAATTGGCAACAGCAGCTTCCTTCCCAGGCTTTGACTCCTCTGCCTTGACTGTGTGGGTCAGATCTTTAAAGAGGACCTGAAATCTTCATGTTACACAGTCTTATCTCCCCTCCATGATGCAGGGCAGTGCCAGTGTCACCCTTGTGTGTATGGGCATTGAGGGAGGGAGGTTGAGTGGTTTGGTTTTCCAGAATTGTGAGACACAACTGAGGAGTAACCTGGGTTTGCTGAGAATCATCCTCTTTCCCCTGGGCAGTCTTTCCTTTGCTAGCCTCAATGGTCTCTGCCCTGGTAGGAACATGATGATGAGAGAGGCCTCAGATCTCCTTAGCAGCCTGTGCTCAGCATGTCCAGTTCTTGAATGCCATGAAACTGGGCTGCAGTAGATGGGGAGCAGCCTTGGGGACTGAATGTGGTCAAATAAGCAGAGAGGAAAGTATGGCTGCAGGACCTCTGTGGTTTCTGGGATATTAGATGACACCTCTCTCCTGCTAGGAAAGAATAAGAAAGGAAAAGTTCCTCAGCAGTCCTCGGAAAAGCATTGTTAAGCCCGATATTCAACAACCCTCCAGGAATTTTCATGCAATAACTTTTATCAGTAAAAGCACAGTAGCAATTACCAAGATGGGATAGTGCCCTGCGGAAGATGGAGAAGGGGATGATGCTTATCCATCCCCCATCACTGGAGACAGAGAGCTTCACTTGTGTGTCCATGGCAAAAGGGAGAGCTCCTGCTGCGGTACTGGGGCTGAGGGAGGAGGGATGCTTTCCTGTTTCCTCTGGCAGATCATTATCTCACTCCATATGTGAAACATGGAAATTGCTTTAAAGGCCCAGGAGCTGGCCTGGCTGTGACTTTCATTATATTGATGTTGTGTAGTCACCCTCAGTGAGTGACCTCAGTGGTCACTCTTGGTACCTCCATCCTGTGTTTGCTGAAGCCTTGTGTATCTGTCATCAAGGCAGCAGGACCAGCATTGGCCTGAAGGCAAGTGCATGAGAGAACAGAACCTGTCTCATTTTTTCTCTTTAAAAGAAATGTTTTGGCAGTACTAGGGTCAAAAGGAAACATTTTTCTGGTTTATATATATATATATATATATACACACACATATATATACATATATTTTTTTTCTGTTACGTATATATTTTCTGTTTTATAGGTGTATGTATGTGTGTGCAGATTTTTATCACAGCTTCTTGCAAAACAGTGTTTCTGTAAGATGATTGTTTTGTGGATGGACTACGGTTGGACAAGAGAAATCCTGGGCTTATTCTGGGCTTCTCTTGACCTTTCCATCAGTATAAGAAAACAATGTCACTCTCACTGTCAAGCTTTACATCACCTTCAGATCAGTCTAGTGGGGGCCAGAGGTGCTGAGTGGTATGATGTGACTCAGCCAGGGCTGTGTGCAGAGAGAGGGTTGAGTTCCTATCCCAGGTGTATGGGTGTGAGTAAGCAACTGTTGCATGGCTGTAATCCCCCAGTACCCCTGGAGCTGAGTTTGCTTTGAATTTCCTGTTGAACCAGAGCAACTTCTTGCTTGAGAAGGGCAACGGCTGCATCTCCATGTACAAAGATGACCTGGAGCATGGGATTGCAGATCAGCAGCCCACAATGGGCTGTTGCTTCAGGGACAGAATAGCTCTCCCAGTCATGTCTGCAACCAGCTCTGGGACCCTCCAAAGAGGATAGAAGGCAGGGTGTGTTACCACAGATCGGAAAATGTGCCATCCCTCAGTTAAAGCTTGTATCCCAGGGAGAGCAAAATTGGTGGGAACTGGTAGTGGAGATGTGTGGGAGAATGCTGCATACTGTCCTGAGACCTCTGCTAAAGGCTGCAGCAGGGAAATGGCTTTAATTTAGGCTAGTTCTGCACTCAGGGCTATATTCCTCATTATGAGCAGGAACAGCCAGTGAGGTCTGGAATTACTCTATTGACTTTTCAGCCTTTGGATGTACCCCATGCTTTGTGGCCCATGCTCATTTGTGTTTTCTTTTCCCTGAACAGGTCTATATCATCAATGTAACATGGTCTGACCTGACTTCCCAGATCATCTACCGGAGATACAGCAAGTTCTTTGACCTGCAGGTAAGTCTGTCTTGCCTAACATAAAATATTATTTCTACTCATGCTCCTAGTCATGTTTCCAGCTGGGTTAATAGTGCCTTTAAGTAAGGCTTTGTGCTTGGTTGGTCTGTTACATGTCATGATCTTGAAACTTTTCAGGCTCTGCCCTTGTAAGGTATAAGATAAGTGGGTGGTATGCTCACAGTGAGCAGCTTGCACTGTAAAGACATTTAAAGCTGACATTTTCATGAATGGTTCCTATTGAAGAGAGGATCTAATTTTAAATACTTTGGATGCACTTAGAACAGAGAGAGAGCTACATTCTGGGCCCCCAGAAACTACTTAGCTAAATAACTGAAAACAACAGAGCTTTTGCACACTCCCACAGCAGTTCAGTAATGGAGATGGCAGTGGAAACCTTCCAGATTCTCCTCCTAACCATCTAGCTGGCCAGCCAGTGTCCTGACTCCTGCTGTTTTGTACAACTCCTTTGCTGTATTCTGTGCCTGTATATTTAGATTTCATTGAAAACTTTCTCACTGGATAGCTGCTGACCAAAGTCTGAAACCAGGAAACGGGAAAAGTCTCAGTTACAGTTTCAGTGTGGGCATCAGCTGCTTCGTTTCTTGTAGTGTTACTTTATTTCTGATAGTGTTCCTGGGCACTTGCATGGGTAAGGAGAGCTTTGGGGCTGATGTCCTGTTTAGCAGTAATCAAGATCCATTGATATCTTTGTAGGCAGCAAAACTATAATTGCCTGGGGTGAAAATAAAAGCTGTGCTTTGACGAGGTCCTGAACTTTGGGGGAAAATGTTGATTTTGGGGCTGGAGCTTGTGTTTGGAGATGGGCTGTGGTTAGAATATCGAGTGAATCCTCACAGCCACTGTTAAGGATGTACACAGCTGACTCTGCTGTGTCCTGGAAAATAACATTGAGTCTTTTTGCCATGATAAATTAGGAAAAGAAGGGTTCCTGATCTGAGGTATCTTGAAAAGCTCTAGTTTCATCATTGCTCCCCTTTATGTTTCCTTTCTGGTATTTGGAAACCTGAAGTCTCTAGCATGTTTTGTAAGCTAGATCAGTTATGACCTCCTGGCCTTTCTGGTGAAAAATGTGACCATTTTTACAGTCAGTCCTGATTTCTGTTTGCTCTGTGGCTGGAAGACAAGAGAGGGATGTTCTTAAGCTTCCTTTTGTGCCCGTCTTCACTTCTTATTGGGCTGAAGTGCCAGGCCTGCCAGTGCCTCTGCTGTGAAGAGTGTGTCAGCATCTTCTCTGTGTCTGATGTACCTGCTAAAGAGGCACAGCTCCCTAGTCACAAACATTTGTTGTCAGCATGCAAATTGTGGCCAAAACTGTTTCTTTCTTTCTCTTCTTTTTCTTTTTGCCCCAGTTCTGTTTTCATGTATATGTTGTTCTGGGTCTCCTGGCCTTTCCTGGTAGGTTTGAAAAGTTCCCATCAAGCGTGGAGTTATCAATGGGGTTAGTGTGTTGGACAGGAAATGATGTCTCAATCAGGGAGTGAGTCCTGAAAGGTCCCATTGATAAGTGCAAGGGGGCCTAGCCAGTGGAAAACTCTTGCTTGCATAACGCTTCTCCCCCCACGAGAAAATACGACAAGAAAGTAACAAAATTCCCTTCCTTAACCCTTTTCCCTCCCAGGGATCTCTATCAGGGCCAACACTGCATGAACAGTGACAGCCCTCTGCAACAGCCTCTTTAGCTCTTGCAGCGTGAGGCGCTCAGTTACAGAAACTGAGGTCTTCACTTAAGGTTTCCATGGCCTTGTTTCTGTGAGCATATCACTGTGTCGATCTGTGCCTCAGTTTCCCACCTCTAGGATGTAGACAAGTCCCTGTGTGCTCAGGCTGCCATAATGTGCTTTTGAACTCCCAGAAGTGATAGGTGATTCCCCCCCTTCCCCTTTTCTCCTGTTACTTTTTCTGGATTTTTGTTTATGTCTGAACATCTCTTAGGTGATGCAAAGGAAAGTGCTTTGAGTCTTGAATACCAGCTTGTGTCTACAGCTCTAACGAAGCCTGCAAAGAGAGTTGGAAAAGGAAATGAATGCTAGGGCCCTTGGGGTAACCCTTGCATTTTGGGAAACTTATGGCTTGATCTTCAGTGATTCTTGCTCAAATGCAAATTTGCTGCAGGTCAGGGGATAACTTGTGCTTTCCAGGTTTTTGGAGGAACCTCGAACTTCACTGGTTGAACCTGGGTTTGGCAGCCTGATAACCATAAGTGATAATGTGACCTTAGCATAATCAATATACTTTGACAATATCCCCCACGTGGCCCTTGCAGCAGAAAATTAAGTAAATGCTTAGGGAGTAATGCTCAGCCAATTCACGGGAATCACTCATGTCCAAAACAGCTGGAATCCACAGGTCTCTGCCAACTCCACTTGCCCTGCTGTGTCAACGACAGAGGTGCACTTCAGGACTTCCAAAGCGTGCATGTGTCTCATTTGCTCTTGACTAGAACTGGAGGAATAAGGGCTGGCCTGTAGCGACTTAATCAGGGCTGAAATGCCTTGTGTTGACAGTGACACTGGATAGGACCCATGGGGAAACCCAGGGGGCTGCCCAGGAGCAAGGGAGTAATACAGATAATTAATTTCACTACTTCATTTTCATGTTTCTTTAAAAAAGAGCCCACCCTTCCCCAAACGGCTGTGGGAAGTGGCTCAGTGGTTTTGAGAGCTCTAGCATTGCTTGATACTGAGCTTTTTGAAATACTTCCTTGCAAATTCTCTTAGGCACTGCAGGCAGTAACAGGCTGCTGTGTCCCAAAGATTCAAATCTCAGAAGTGTTTGGTTGTGCTATTTCAGCAGCACATATGCTTGAATTAGGAGTCAGGTTGTTTTTAAGATGAGGAATAAGGCAGTGTGACTGGACATACCATGGGATTTGTTTGCCCCACAAAGATGTGAGAAGTACAACAAAGAGAACCTAAAGCAACAAGCCAAGTGTCAGCCCTGTGCTGCTTCAGTGAGTCTGGATATCTATAAATACATGTTTTAAATTAAATCAGGGCATTCTCACATCCTTTAATTGTGCAACCAAGTCACATCTGCTCCTGAGCATGGGTCAAATGATGGCAGCAGAATACACATGGGTGCCAGTGTTTCAATAAATAGGATTGAAAAGATTGAATTAGCTCTGCATCAATGAAAGCATCACTATAAATTGCTTGCCAAGTCCAGTTATCTGTTGTTTTTCACCCTGGGGAGACATTTGCACCTGAGCACCATGTGGGGTCAAAGCTACCTCCTAATGTGATATTTTAAATGCCTCTTTCTTGCACTTGCCTGCAGTGCAGAACAGAGGAGCTTGAGGAGAGCGATATAAACATCGCCTGTTGGTAGTGCTGACCCTCGAGACAGGCTGGTGGCTCACTGAGACACAATCCCTGGATGCTGTTTGAGGTCTCCCATCATTGCTGATGGATTTTCTGGTGATGATTGCAGAATCCTGTCCTGAGGTGATAGTTCAGCAATGCTCCTGTTGTCCCTGAAGGAGCTGAGAAAGGACACTGTTTTATTGGGATAGCAGAGAAAACTCCTGGCATTTCCACCATGCAATAAAAGACATCTATAGATGTAAGACCCATATTGTTCTTGCTGTAAAGTGCTTTTGGAGGCTGTTAGCAGGATAGGGATTTGCATTTGAGTGTGCACATAAATAATTACCCAAAACAGAAGGTGGAAAAGTGCAGGGATGCAGCCAGCTCACTCTGCCATGGCTGTGCTTGCCCATGAAAAGCAACCACAAAATTTGCAGGTGGCAAGTATGAAGGGTGGGTCTTTCCCCACTCCCCATATCACCCTCCCAGTTGCTCAGTAGCACCTAGGGGTTTTATAGCTATTATGACCCCAGCTGGGTGGTGCCCCTGCACTAAGAAACCTTCTCCTCAGCAAAAGGAGCAGAAAAATTGGACAGAACTTCAGTTCCTCGTGTCTTAGCTTCAATCAACAGCAGCTCATCTGCTGCATTTTATTCAGTGACTCCAAATGTTGTGGTGTGACTTCATGCCTGTGTTACTGAGTGCCTCCCGTCAGAGTATGAACAGGACCAGCACCTCAGCAGAGGGACCAAACCCTACATTCCATAAGGATGGCTGGCTCTCTGTGTGCAGAGCTGGGGGAGGATCCTTTCTCACAATAGTGAAATACAGCTTTCTCCAAGGGAAAACACTGGGGCTTATGCAGCATGCCATAGTCCCACATTGTGTTCCTAGTTGAGCAAGAGGCAAATGACATCCCTGCCGGAGCCTCAGCAGGAATGTTAGGTGGGCAGATCGAAGTTTCTCCACACAATGACCCACACAGATGTTTTGGCTTCAAGGAGATATCTGAAAAGTCACAATTTTGAAAAGACAAATAAACAAAGCTCCATTCAAGCACTGGCTTTGTGTGTTAGCACAAAATTATCTGCCTAATGTGGTCTGCTGATCTAAGCAGGTTTTCTTCAAAGTGGCGCAGAAAGAGAATCTCACTAGCAGCCAATTAGAACACTAAAAAAATAAAGAATGTCAAGAATTTTATTAGGAAGAGGAAAGAGATGTAAGTTGTCTTCAGGGTGATGATAAAACATGAAGAGCTTCTTGTTATTGCTAGGGTCATCCTGATTGTGGTGCTATAATGGAGTAACTGAACATTGAAGATGGCATTAAACAAAAATGGTATTAAAAAAAACAGTAATTGCAGTCTCTATATCTCCTTTTCTTACTCAGACTGGAGTCCATCTGAATGCTGCTGCTATTGATCGTTCTGTTACATGCTCTTCTGTACCAACATCCCTTTGCTGTTACTCCAAGATGTATCAAATAGTGTAATGTCCACTCTCATTCCCAGTTAGGTGGTTGTAACTGTGCCACATGCCTGAGTGCCCTGGGTGTCACCAGGTCACTATGATTTGAAGCAGGACCTGGTGGCTTTGGAATACAGGCTTTCTGGTGCGGAGCAAAGGGGAAATCAGTACAGGGTATCTGCAGGGTAGGTGCCTGATGCAATTC